TGGGGGAGGACTAGCCGCTACTTTCAGGTACGTAGTTGGTCGCGAGGTAGAACAGCATTTCGCGGTTTGATATTCTCTTTTTCCGCACGACTCACATTTTGATTCCTCGACAGCTATCGGTCGAACGGCTAAGATCTTATTCCTGTTAGAGAATTTAGCCCTTTCCTGATCTCGCACGACCACTTGAGCTATATGGATGAGAGCGTTTGATGTGGAAGTGAAATCGTAGCATCTCTCCATAACAAACGGATCCTAAGTTCCGGCGGTAACCCGTATATGAAGCTATCTAATACCTCGACTTCTATCTTACGCTTTTCCTCGAAAGGGATTCCATTAGGCGGTTTCAATTCTCCCTCCATGATAGTCTGTCTTAAATCGCGTATCCTACCTATGTAGTCTAAGACGTTTTCACACGATTTCTTATAAGTGCTACTGAGTAAGCCTCTGTAGTAATTCACTGACCTTTAGGGTTGAAACGCTACCTTTAAAATCTCTATTTCTTCTACCGTGGTGATTTTCTCTTCTTCTACCACTAAATACGCGTGCCCTTCTAGTTTAGTGCGAATAGCCCTTACTAGAGCCCGATCAGCTTCGGCTGAAGGGATCTCTCCGAAGAGTTCCATGGCTCGTTTCTATTCTCGCGTAAAGCGAAGAATGAGCATATTGTCGCCGTCGAAATTAGATATGCTTTCCAGTATATCTCTCAATTTGAGTTGTGGCATGTTCAATCTAGGTGCAGCAGTCGGTCTATAATGTATATGTTGCCTAGTTCCTGATTCGTTATTTAATTTCCTTTTTAATTCGTCGATTTCTTGACTGAGGTTATCGATATCGAATTACAGGTGTGAATCGCTACTGAAAGAGCAACGACTCTCTTCACAACGTGTTGGAGTATGTCAAGATGAGTGATTACCGTCGTATGTTTCGTCTATAATTAAGAATCCATCCCGTTTATCTAAATCGCGTTCGCGGCGAATTAGTAACTGTTCTCGTTCGGTAACTTGGTATTCGTGTTATTTTAATTCTATTCGTTTCCTATGTGGAGTAGCGTTCTGTTTGTCGATATATCTTTTCATATTGTCTAACTGTTCCCTGAATGAAGAAATTTTGCTCATAACATCCTAAAGGCTTTGTTCACGATGTAATAACGCGCTTTCATGAGATCAACTATCTTTTTCGGTAAGGTTTACAACCGTTAATGGAGATCCATATAGTGAAGTCATTTTGCTTGCTTATGAAGAAAAATAGAAATTAACGACAAAAAAAAAATTTGAAAATATTTTGAACCAATCTTTTCGGGGATCAAAAGTACATCCCACCCCTGCTACCAAATTTTATTATTGGAATATCTGACGTCAACAGTTGAATCTTGAATGACTGTAAAGTAACCGAAGTGCCTGCAGCTTCCCAATTATACGAACCTAGTCACGCGCCTCTTTTTCGCTCCATCCTTTCGGAATCTTACACGGGAATGTTTTTTTTTTATTTTCTTCACAATAGAGCAGTCAAACTGCGCCAAGAAAGATTTACTTTAACTTACCTTATTCGATGGAATGCTGAGAGGGGCTCTGAATATCGTTACTCGTGTTTATTTTTCTTTCTTGGGCTGCAGACTCGAATAGTGACTCTTGACTGGTTACCTCTTGTTAACGATGGCTGAGGAACAATAGGGCGAAGCGATGTTCGATATTCGACAATTTTTTTCTCTTTTACGATTTGATTTATTTGGTATGAAATAGGTGATAGAAATTTACAAGGAGATGAGTAACAAATGAATGAAACTAGTTACTATGATTAGAAACATAAGTGTTAAGTATTTCTTAACGAGAAATTTTTCGTGAATAAATTGAACGAGCTAACATAATCGTTTTGGTCATAACGACTAATTGCAAAGAACTGATCTTAACGACTGACTGCGATGAAATTATTTCGACGACTGCTGATGATGAAGTGTTCTTAACGACAGACTATGATGAAGTTATCTCGACGACTGCCGATGAAGAAGTGAGTTCTGCTGCGGGCTTGCCTGCAGCATCTAGTCTCTAGGCACGTTACTCCGCATGCTCATCGCCTGCAGGCGCCCCCTTGCACGAACCGTTCTCGCGCGTTTTTTTGGTCTCGTCAAAGGCGATAAGCCATTGCGTCACAGTTTTCCTGCGCGTACTTCCTTGGTCGACTTTGTCTCTACACATGTAGCTCTTGGGCGTGCTCCGTTGCCAAGGGTGGAAGAGGCATGAAGCATCTGCATTCCTTCACGTACTTTTTGTCTTCCTTTGTCCCTCCACGTGTTGCTCTAGCGCGCGCTCCGTTACCAAGAGTAAATAGCGTATTTGTCTCTCGACACGTACTCCTTTGTCTCTTTGTTCTCTTATTTCTTTACTACCGTACCCGTTACATACCTGAGCGTATGGATCATCAGTCTTATTTCCGAGAACTTAAGGCTGGCTCTTGCTTGCCGTTGAAGATATTTATAATGATATAATCTTATGATATTACAGCTAGTTTTTTTTATATTATATGTTATTCGTATGGTTAATACATATGTGCTTATACGGTGTAGCTATAATAGCGTCTTATGCTATCCCCATATAATTAATTTATTACTACGTGTCGTATAGATAGTTTTCAATTAATTATTAATGACATGTTGCAAATGATTATTCTTATGAAAAAGTTAAAAGAAAAACAAATAAAAATGATAAATTTACAACACTTTAGATGCACATGTATACGTGTCTATAAAATTTTCTCTTCTTTAAAATGTCTTTCAAATTTTCTGATTAACCTATCCACGAAGACGTGACATTAAATACGTGGATTGAAGATAAATTGTCGTACAATGTAAGCGAAACATGCGAATTTCGCTACCGATAAGTAAAAAACGTAAAATCTTCGAAAGTACATGCATCACAGTTTGGAGAACGTTCTCAAACGAATCAGCACATTGTATTATATAAAATCAAACTAGTATTTTAAACGAAACCGTTGTTCTTAACATTATTTCGTAATGATCTACAATTTTTCGTGCGTATACGCTTATCGAACGAAAAGTTAAAAATTCTTTCAATAACTTAGATAAACTATTCTATCGAAACAGATAAAGAAAATAACAAGAATATAACGTTTTTACGAAGATTAAATAAGTGAATTAACGATAAATTGTTGTACAATATAATCGAAACAGGCGAATTCGGATACCGATATGTAAAAATCATAAAATCTTCGATAGTACTTGTTCCAAAGTTTGAAGAATGTTACCAAACGATTCAGCACAATTCATTATATAAGGTCAAACTAATATTCTAAACGGAACCGTTGTTCTTAACATTATTTCATAAAGATCTACAATTTTTTGTGCGCATACGCTTATCTTCGAAATAGGAAAAGTTATAAACTCTTTCGATACCTTAGGTATATTATTCTATCCACGTAGAATAAAGAATATAACAAGAATATAACGTTTTTACGAAGATTAAATACGTGGATTATCATTAAATTATTGTCTTATGTAGGCGAAACATACGAATTTCGATAAACATCAGTAAGAATCGTAAAATCTTCGATAGTACTTGCATCACAGTTTAGAGAATGTAACCAAATTTTTCAGTACATTGCAAAACATAAAATAAAACTACCATTTTAAACGAAACCGTAGTGTTTAACATTATTTCATTTCGTATACATTTATCGATAAAATACAAAAAAATTTTAACGTTCCCAATTCTTTAGATATAGTAATCTATCGACACAGAATAAGGAATATAATAAGAATATAACGTTGTTACGAAGATTAAATTCGTGGATTAACGATAAATTGTACAATGTAAGCAAACATGCGAATTTCAATACCAATAAGTAAGATTCGAAATGTCTTCGAATGTCTTCGAAAGTACTTGCATCACAATTTGAAAAATGTTGCCAAACGTTTCAGCACTTTTCATTACATAAGATCAAACCACTATTTTAAACGGAACCGTGGGCTTTAATATTATTTCATTACGTTATAAGATTTTTCGTTCGTATACAATTATCGTCAAAATGCTAAAAGTTGTAAACTCTTTCAATTCTTTAGATATCGTATTCTATTGATCCAGAATAAGGAATATAACAAGAATGTAACATTTTTATGAAGATTAAATACGTGAACTAACAATAAATTGTTGTATAATATAAGCGAAACATTTGAAATTCCATACCGATAAGTAAAAATTGTAAAATCTTCGAATGTATTGTATTAGGTTGGAAACTATGAAACGGGCGTTGAATGAAAATAAAAAACAAAAAGCGCAATTTTTCACATTATTTATTATATTCAATTGAAATAATTTCCATTGGCATCTACGACTTTTTGCCAATGATTGGGCAAATCATATATGCCTTTTTGAAAAAAATCTTTATTTTTAGAGTTAATAAATAATTCAAAGTCTTTTATAATATCATTTTGGTTATTGTATTTTTTTTCTCTTAAAAATAATTCATAATTACGAAAAAGGTAATAATTAGTCATTGAAATATCGGGTGAATATGGAGGATGCGGTAAAATTTCATATTGTAGAGAAGTTAATTTGTCAACAGTAATTGAAGCTTTATGTGGTCGTGCGTTATCATGCAGTAATATTGGACTGAGCCGATTGAGCAATGCTGGTTGTTTTTTCATAAATTTCTCATGCATGACATCAATTTCACGACAATAAGACATCGCTGTTATAGTTTCGCCTGGTTGTAGAAAGGAATAATGGATCACTTCTTGGGCATTCCACCATATGGTAACCATAATTTTTTTTTATGAAATTTCGGTTTCAGAGTGTGTCCTGGGGTTGTATTCTTATTTACCCATTGGCTTGATCGTTTTCGATTATCATACAAAGTACACTTTTCATCACAAGTGATAATTTGGTGTAAAAATGGCAATCGTGTATTGCGAAGCAATAAAGATGCGCACTTGCTTTTGCGGTCGATCATCTGCAATTGCGTCAATTCGTGCGGCACATATGAGTCCAATTTTTTGACTTTATTTATCGCACGCAAATGTTTTATCACAGCTGTATGACTAGTTCCTAGTTTAGACCCAAGTGTTCGACTAGTTGTGTGTGGATCGGATTCCATAGTATTCCTTAATTCCTCGTTATCATTATGAGCCGGTGGTCTTCCTCGAGGCTCATATTGCCAGAACGAAATTTTTGGAACCAATATTGAGCATTTTTTTCATTGATGGATCCATCTCCGAATGCCAGATTAATATTTCTTGAAGCTTGAGCTGCGGTGTGATTTAATTTAAACTCGTACAAGAAGAGTAGATGTAAATCGCGTTTTGTTTCCATCTGGTTTAGGATAAAAATAAAATAAAAATGGGATACAAACATGAAAAAATTTTACAAAATGAATAAGAGGAATACCTTTAAGCTTTATAAATTGAAATATCGAGCGCACGTTACAATGTATCCCTCTCAGTCGCAGGTAAATACAGACTAAACAAAAAACGCCCGTTTCACAGTTTCCAACTTAATACTTGCACCATATTTCGGAATATATTACCAAACGAATCTGCACATTGCATTACATACGAATTAACTACTACTTTACACGAATCCGTAGTTTTTAAATATGATTTCGTTACGTTATACGATTCTTCGTTGATATACGCTTTTCGTCAAAATACGAAATGTTCCAAACTCTTTCAGTTCCTTAGATATCTTATTCTATCGACGCAAAATAAAGAATATAAAGTTTTTACGAAGATTGAATTTGTGGAATAACTATAAATTGTCGTATAATGTAAGCGAAACATGCGAATTTCGTTATCGATAAGAGAGAATTGTAAAATTTTCGAACGTACTTTCATCACAGATTGGAGAATGTTACCAAACGGTTCAGCAATTTGCATCATATAAGATCAAAGCACTATTTTAAACGTAACCGTTGTTCTTAATACTACTGCTTTAAGTTATACGATATTTTGTTCTTATATGCTTATCATCGTAATACGAAAAATTGAAAACTTTTTCGATTCTTTAGATATAGTAATTTATCAACGCAGAATAAAGAATATAATAAGAATATAACGTTTTTACGAAGAATAAATACGTGTATTAACGGGAAAATTGTCGTAAAGTGTAAGCGAAACAATAATACGTAAATATAGCGTGAATATAATGTTATTATGAAGATTAAATACGAGGATTATCAATAAGTTGTTGTATAATGCTAGCGAAACATTCAAATTTTTTCACAGATAAGTAAAAATTTTAAAATCTTCGAAGGTTCTTGTACCACAGTTCAATAAATATTACCAAATGATTCAGCTCACTGGATTACATAATATCAAGCTACTATTTTAATAATAATAATAATGATAAAATTAATACTAATAGTAATATCAATAATAACAGTAATAACTTTTCGTATTCCGGCGATAACCGGATATGCACGAAAATTCGTAAAACGCAATGAAATATTGATTAATATTACGATTCCGTTTAAAACAGTAGTTTAATTTGAAGTAATGCAATGTGCTGAATCTTTTGATAATTCTCCGTACGGTGGAGCAAGTTCTTCCGAAGATTGTACGATTCATATTTATCACTGTAGAAATTCGCAAGCTTAACTTCTATTAGTCATCAATTTATCATTAATCCTCGTATTTAATCTTCGTAAATTCGTTATATTCTTGTTATATTTTTTATTCTTATTAGGTAGATTCCAATATCTAAGGAATAGGTAAAGATTTCAACTTCTCGTATTTCGACAATATCCGCAATTGCAAGAAAATTCGTATAACGTAATGAAATAATGTTAAAATCCACGATTCTATGTAAAACAGTAGTTTGATCTTATGTAATGCAATATACTGAATCATTTTGAAACATTCTCCGAACTGTGGTGCAAGTTTCTTCGAAGATTTTACGATTCTTATTTATCGGTATCGAAAGTCTCATGTTTCCCTAACATTAAACAACACTTTATCGTTAACCGTCGTACTTAATCTTCGCAAAAACGTTATATTTTTGTTGTACTATTCACTCTGCGTAGATAGAATACGATATCTAAGGAATCGAAAGAGAATTCATTTTTTCTCTATTTTGACCATTTCCTTATACGCACGAAAATTCCTATAATGTATTGAAATAATGTTAAAAACCACGATTCGGTTTAAAACAGTTGGTTCATCTTATGTAATGCAAAGTCTTGAATCGATTGGTAACATTCTTCAAACTGTGATACAAGTTCCTACAAAGATTTTACGATTCCTATCGGTGACGAAATTCACATGTTATGCTAATATTATACAACTTATCGTTAAATTTATCGTTAATGCTCGTATTTATCCTTCATAAAAACATTATATTCTTATTATATTCTATATTCTGCGTCGATAGAATACGATATGTAAGGTATCGAAAAAATTTCGAATTTTGTATTTCGACAATTTTTGTATGATTTTTGTATGATAATTTACGTACGAAAATTCGTATCGCTTAATGGAATGATACTAAAATCCGCGATTTCATTTAAACCAATAGTTTGATCTTATGTAATGCAGTGTGGTACAAGTTCCTTCGGAAAATTTATGATTCTTACTTATCGTTGTATTAGGTGGACCGGAAAGTAATGTCGCTTTCTTAAATTAAATTCAAACGAATAAATTTTTAACAAGTTTTTATTTTTAATCACATACTCTGTATCTGGGTAATCACGTAATTAAGTATATGGATTTTGATAATATTTCAATCAGTCTAATAAGTAAATAACGAAAGTAGACACCTAGGCGCAATAAGCCAAGGGTTATCTGGCTTCTAGTTTTAAAATATCCATTGGCATTTTTTAATCATATGATCATTAGAACAAAGTGGACACATACGGAATGTTTAAACATTCCAACAAACTGCCCCCACCAATGACATTCACGGCGTACGGTGATTGGCCGTTAGAGTTGGACAAGAAATTTGTAGTGGTAGGACTGCATGTAATTTATCTATCAACAGTTCGCACACCTGCGGCACTCCTAACCTCAAATCTTAAAAGCGCGGGAAACACTTCAGGCATGACTCTACAGACCTTGTCGCCCGTGGTTAAGGAAAAATTTTTCGAAATTTTTCAAAATTTTCAAAATTATCAAAATTTTCGAGCTTCGTCATAATACGCGACTGCAGTGATGTAGCCACAATGAGAACTACCCCAAATTAATGGCGGGATGTCTTGCATGATCAAATATATAATAATTAATTTTTTTTTAAGTACTTTATTATTTTTCTATTTCTTTTTTTCCTCATCGCGAAATGTTATTGTTTGATCGTTGCATCGTCACTCTGCCATTAAGAGAAGTATACTTTAAGTACTACTTCCCTTTTTTTTCTCCAACTCGCATGCAATCCGTCCAAAATTCCCTGAAAACGGAATTAGGGGCCCCCAGCCTCTAGGGATAACCACAACCCCTGCAACAACAGCGCACATGCAACACATAGAAAGAATCCCCTACCACCGATTATCGAGCAAGACGCCAAGCAAGTCTGTGGGAATTCATCTCCAGAATCACCGGAAATGGTCGCAGAAATAAATGATGCCCCATCCAATACCCTCGTAGAGGACCATATACGCGTAACCCCCGATACCATCGGCGCGATAGGCATGGATCTTCAATTAAAGACACCGCGTGTTACTTTCGCCGATCCCTGCGCATCAATCTGTGGTAATAATACGATTTCGATCAAGACCCCCCTTTCACGTAAATTGCATGTTCTCTAAAATTCATTTGTTGCAGTTAAACATGGGACGTTCTAAAACGATAACTGGCGAAGTCCGCGAACCGATTAGCCAGAAACACCTGGACGTGCTGCTTTTACAAGAGCCATACGTTCAAAGGCACAGGACAGGTTACGAAGTTATAGGACTAGGAAACGGAACAAGAATAACTGCCATCCGCGATGAAAGACCCTGGTCGGCTGTCGCGGTAACCAGCCCGAACATCGCGTTACTTTTTATCTCTCAGCTCAGCACTCAGCACTGCGTCTGTGCAGAAGTGCAAGCACCCGGCTCCTCTTTCTACATTGTCTCGCACTACTTTCAGTACAGCGACGAAATAGAGGAGCACCTTAGGCACTTGGAATCCTTCGTGCAGGGGTACTTCGTGCCCTAAGGGGGGAGAGAATAATAGTACCACTGAACGCTAACGCGCGATTGCCTCTCTGGGGCCCTCACGGCACAGACGAAAGACGCTCGAAGTTAGAAGCCCTCATCCGGGAATTCGGGTTAAGAATTATTAACGACGTGAAGCAGCCACTCACATTTTGGACGACGAGAGGCTCCTCGTACATCGACGTAACCCTCTAGTCACAATCCATAGCCGATTTATTTTCCGAATGGAAAGTCAGAACAGGCTGGACGTCCAGTGACCTAAGACTGAGTCGGGTCGAGAGCGTTGCGCTCGGGGCACGGGGAACAGGAGGTTCAACACCAGGAGAGCTGACTGGGACTTGTTCGCCGAGCGCCTACTCTCCCTCTCTGCGGCAAGGCTGGATCAGTTTAGGATCGGCTTCAGAAGTAGAGACAGTAGAGACACTCCGATTCTATGCCCCGTAAAAAGTCCAACCCATGGTGGACATCAACGTTAACGAACCAAAAGAAAACGGTATCTCGACTAAGACGCGCGTTCCATGGAGAAAAAGACTATTAGGCACGCTTCGGGTTAATGCGCGAGTATCGTTCGTCGTTGTGGAACTATAGTAAAGCGGTACGACGTGCCAAATTAAAGAGCTGGAGGAAATTCGTCACGGAGCAGGGTAACTCGGAACAGTGAGGGTACATCTATAAGCAACAGACAGGTAAATTTCGCGTCGAAAGAGTGATTAACACTCTTAAACGAGAAGGCAGGAAAACTACGAAAGTTCGTGATACGGCAAGAGTCCTCCTTAGTACGCATGTTCCGGATGACTGCGTGTCCGAAGACATGCCGGAACAGCAAGCGGTACGGAATATCTCCAGAAATGTTCCCGAAGCTGCAGATGCCCCTCTCTTCACGAAGGAAGAGGTCGCGCGTGTCATAAGATCTCTCAAAAACGGAAAGGCCCCGGAGCCGGATCTTATCGAGGTGTGCGTGCTCAAGAGAGCCTTTGCCGCTATCCCATTCCAATTCGTTGATCTTTTTAACAGATGCCTTCAATGGAGCATCTTCCCATTTATTTGGAAAGAGGGCTCCTTAAGAACACTCTTTAAAGGCGATAACAAAGACGCGGAGGACCCCAAGTCTTACCGGCCCATATGTCTTCTCTCCATCATAGGAAAGGTTCTAGAAAGGCTACTGAAGTTGCGCCTTAACGAAACATCCCTCGCGCCGGGTAAACTTTCGGACAAACAATTTGGCTTTGTCTCGGGACGCTGAAGACGCGATAGTAGAGATGCGCCGAATCATTTCTGCCTCCTCACGGAGATATATCGTCGTAGTGTTATTCGACATCTCGGGAACCTTCAACAATGTCTGGTGGCCTTTAGTCCTCAAGGCACTACAAGATCGGGATTGTCCGAGAAACGATTTTAACGTCATAACTAGCTACTTCGCAGGCCGCAAGGTAAAAATTACCTTAGGAGAGCATGAGGTTTCAAAGCAGGCCTCGAGAGGATGCCCACAAGGATCGGTCTTTGATCCCTCCTGCTGGAACCTCATGTTCGACCAGCTCCTCCGGATACTGGAGGAATCCCCGGGAATTAACGCGATCGCGTACGCGGACGACCTACTCGTCATCATAGATGGAGATTCTAGGAAGGAACTCAAGGAAAAAGAAAATCGCGTGGTAAACAGCATCACCGAATGGTGCTCGACGGCAAAATTATCTATCTCTGAACGTAAGACGGAAGCTATCGTCCTCAAAAGCGACTGGGTGAAGAGGAAACCCATTGGTAGAAGGGCAGGACAACGTCCGATAGGAAGCGGAAAACGGTGAAAAAGACCGACTTAGCCAGTAGGCCGCCCACCATAAAGATAGGGGACAATAGCATTAAATTTAGAAATTCCGTTAGATACCTCGGGGTATACTTCGACAAAGGGCTGGGGGTTACGACACACTGCTGTTACCTTAACAATAACGTCGGACTACTATTAGCGAAGCTAAGTAAATTAGCAGCCAGAGAATGGGGGCTTCGTCATTGCGCTCTTCGGACGATTTATTGGGCGATTCACCTCTACGGTCACGTACGCGGCAGCAGGATGATCGGATCTCTACACCGAAGGGGATCTCAAGAAGTTAAGCGCGACCTAGCGATCGGCCCTCATCTCGGTCATCTGTGCATACCGCACAACCCCGACGGAATCCCTCTGCGTCGTAGCGGCGGAGCCGCCGATTGATCTCCAGTTATTGAAACGTAAAAGATTATACGGTATTAGGAAAAATAAGAGCGCCGTAATAGCGACGCGAAAACTGGAAGGAACGAAGAATAAGCGCACGATAGTAAGGCAGATCGACGAGGAAATTCCTCCGACGAGGAGAATCCTCAAAGGGAAGGACAACGTACGCGTTTTTCCCGGACATCAAGAACAGGATGGGTGTTCGCTTCATCTCTCCTAACCACTTTACATCTCTGTTTCTTACAGGACACGGAGCTTTTAAGGCCAAGCTGACTTCGCTGAACACCATCAGTGAAGGAGCATGCGAGTGCGGCGAAGAGGACACGGTTTCGCATCACATCGTCGACTGTCCGGTTTTCGAACCCCAGAGGGTGGCTCTGGAAGAAATTCTCTGTGAAAGGAGTTGGCCGGAAGCAACAAGACATCATGTCTCCACGGTCGAGGCCTTCTCCCTCTTCGCGGAGTTTTGCAAAGAAACCCTCCTCCTTAAGGATTATTAGTTCATGAATCCTGTTTAGCTGGGATGTCGGAGTCCTGGTAATGGGGATGAGTGCCTGTAATCTTCTCAGGTTAACTCACTCTCGAACAGGATAGAGTCGAAGACGTTCGCATGCATATTCATATTTTTTATTCTCTACCACCAAATTCTCTCCCCTAAACCTGCTATCCTTCCGATCCTATCCCAACCTACAGAACGAGTGCCAAGAATAGTGGTATTATGAGTGGTCCTTCCCGTGGTTCCCCCTGGGCACGGCTGACATCAGCGTGGTGATCCGTTGCTGCGAGGATGTCGGTCGTGGTTAAACTGCTCACCCTGGCCGCCAGCAGGAGTTTTGGGTTTTTCCGAATTCGGTCTCTTCGTTGTGGTGGCTGCTGTCTGTAGGTGGTTCTGTAACGTATGCCCTAATGGACGAGGTAGCTTTGGTGCAAGCACCCTTCGGGTGTCCACCTTTACAATATACTGCTCCCACCAATGAGCATTTATTCTTTCACTTTCCATATTTCAACTCCGCCCTTTACCAATCTCATTTCAGTTCTAAAGAATCCAAAAGAATAGTCAAATTACATCTTTCAGACTCACAACATCTAAGCTCTCAAGCCTCTTTCAGAAGCATATAACTAACTACACAACATATCCGAAACAAACAAACAATTATAACTCATTTAATCAAATACACGGTGAGATTTACATAGCGCGCATCATTTAATATCGCGCATTTACTTCTCAATTCCTCACGGAATTTTTTAAAAGAACGCGCGTCCTCCATATAATTTGCGGGAACGCGACGAATGATCTTTTTCTGATGACCTACAACAGTATCCTAGCCACCGACCTTATTCATCGTGACCAGTGGGTCTATAGCTCGAACAACAAAGACAAGACGGGGGAACTTTCCTCTGTGCAAATCGACTATCATCGCTGGTCCGGTGCGAGATGCGCATCTAAAAACGCTCTCGTAGTGTAAGTCCACACAACGCACAATAAACTAAACAACATTAATGAACAATCGTTAATCTTCGTACTTAACATTCGTAAAAACGTTCTATTCTTGTTATATTCTTCATTCTTCGTCGATGGAATTCAATTTCTAAGGAATCAGAATAGATTTCAAATTTTCATTTATCGACGATATCGGTATAAACAAAAAGTATCGAAATAATGTTAAAAACCCTGATTAATTTTAAAACAGATGTTTGATTTGATGTTATTTAATGTGCTGAATCGTTTGGTAACATACTGTGGAGGAAGTTCTTTCGAAGATTTATGATTCTTACTTATCGATGTCGGAATTCGTGTATTTAGCTAACAGTATACAACAATTTTCGTTAATCCTTGAATCTTATCTTCATAAAATGTTATATTCTTTTAATAAACTTTACATTAAGTCGATAAAATCCGATACCTAAGGAAGTGAAGGAGAATTCCACTTTTCATATTCCGACGGAAAAGGTAAATAGACGAAAATTCGTATAACAAAATGACACATTTTAAAAAACAAAAATTCCGTATGGTCATCATCAAATTGGTCAAGATCAAATCAATGGTTTGATCTTATGTAACGGGATGTGATGATTTTATATATTAATAATAATAGTAATAATAACAACAATAACAAATGTAATAATAATAATATTATTAATAATAGTAATAATATTAATAATAATATTAATAGTAAAAATAAAAATAGGAAGTTAATATTAATATTATCAAATATTATAATAAAATAAATATAGTAATAATAATAATAATAGTAATAATAATAACTATAATAATATTAATAAAAATAATATTATATGTAATAACAAGAATAATTATAATAATAAAAATAATAGTACTAGTAATTGCTATAATTTATATTAACAGTATATTATAAAAACAATAATATATTTAATAATTAATATAATAAAAATAACAATAATAGAAAACATAAACAATATGAAAATGAGTCTAAATATAATAAAGATAATAAAAATAATGACAATAATATTTAAATTCCTTATAAAAATAATATCAATATTAATAATAGTGTTAATAATGTAATTCACAGTAATTATAAAGAAAATATGAATATTAGTAATATGAAGATATTCATAATAATAATAGTACATCAAATAATAGTAATAGTCATCATCATAATTTTATAAACAATAATAATAATAATAATAATAATAATAATAGTAATAATAAAAATAATAATAATAATAATATTAATAATAATAATAATAATAATAATAATAATAATAATAATAATAATATTAATAATAATAAGTCTGCTTTCACCTTCCGACGCGAACACATCGAAACTCTTTCTTTCCGAATGAATGTACTTATAAATTAATATTTTCGATAAACTTTTAATTATTTCAATAATCTTTAGTGTACGTCGGATAGAGTAAAGTATTATTTAAACAATAGTACATTTATTTAAACATTAAAAATTCGGAAAAAAAAACTAAATTAATTTTAATATAATACAGGGATACTTCAAAGATCTTATTTATTTCTTCACGACTGTGAGGGCGGAAGAACCTAGTGGAGTCAACCATGAAATCAAATCATTTCAGACTAACAATTTGATCTTACTTTGGAATTTTATTCCTACCATTGTAACACACAATTTCAATTACAAAATGGAAAAGTCGCTGAAAGAAAGCACTACCCCAAGTGACAGCTCAGAAAAGAAATCCACCATTGCGTTATGCAATGCATCAGGACCTAGGGTTTTGGGGAGTCCCAACATCTGCAATAAGGATGAGTCGGAGCATCCTTGGTATCCTTCCGGACTTAAGTTTAAAAAGAAGTTTTTTGCGGGCACTTTAAATGTAAATTCTTTGCTGAAGGTTGGTAAATAAAAGGAATTAGAACTATTTCTGGATAGAAACGAAATTCAAATTTTAGCAGTACTGGAGACGAGATTTTTGGATAAAAATGTGACAGAAACAAAAGATTATATAATCTTTAAAGGCAAGCCTGCGATTAAAATTATGAAAGGAATGCCAATCTTGGGAACAGCCTTTTATATCCATAAAAAATTATTAAAGTGTGTAACTAAATTCAAATCCCGCTCAGAAAGGATGTATCTTTTGATAATGAAATGCAAAAATAAATTACACACTTTTATTAATTGTCATGCACCAATAAATAAAGACAACAAGAAGAACCCAAATAAAATAGAGGAATTCTGGGACCTCCTGGACGATGAAATGTCTAAAATTCCAAAATCAAATGTAGTGATATTACTTGGAGATTTCAATGCCCAAATAGAAAGAGAGAGAATTCATAGACCAATAGTGGGAGAATGTGCTGCACACCAAAGAACAAATAGAAATGGGATGAGATTGATAACTATTTGTAAAAACTTTCAAATGAAGGTAATGTCGACTTTCTTCAGGTAATTGCCAAGAAGAGCTAAAACATGGATTTCTCCAAATCCAATGCTAGGTGAATTTCAAATAGATCATGTAGCTATATCCAAAAGAAACATGACGGAAATTATGAATGTAAAGGTAGTAAGAAGCAGAGAATTTGATCACTATTT